GTACAACCTCTCAGGACAGCAATTCACAAGTACACATGTCTTTTACCTAGCAATGACATTTCTAGTAATTTTCCCTTTAGATATATTTACATATTTGTGAAATGACTTATGTAAAATTTATGAAAAAATTTCAATATTTTCTGTAATAGTCCAAGATTGGACACAGCCTATGCACTCATTCAATAGAGGACTGTCTAAATACATAGCAGTCCAGTAAAGTAATTCTATGAGACCTAAGAGAGAATGATGAAATTTTAATTTTCGTATGAATTCATCTCCAGGATATTTTGTTATGTAAAGGATCAACAAATTCATGGACATCAGTTGCTTGTGGTAGAAGAACCTGGGAGCTAAGAGAAGAGGTGGGAGGAGACTTCACCATTTGCCCTTTTGTACATGGTCCAAAGAGTGAAACATGTGAATGTATTTCCTATACAAGATATACAAAAATTTAATTAAAGAAGCCCTATTACTCATCATATTTTATAGATACATGGAACTCTCCATTTCCAGTAACAAAGGATTAATAATGAGCCGAGAGAAGTAATGAAACGCCTTCATATACTCTGTTAATCCTATAGAATGATGGTCAAATGAAAATTCAACTTTTTAGTTCTTAAAGAATGTTCCAGGATGCCAAGAAAAAAAACACAAAATATTTTGTAAATGATTTAAAAGAATAACTACCTAATAGCACTAGGATATAAAAGTTGCTAATTTTAAATGGCAAGTTTCATCTGACTCAAAAAGTTAGAAAAACAATTATGGAAATGACAGGTCACAGGAATCAAACTTCTGATATAGGCAAATTAAAGCAGTAGAATAGTCCAAAAAATAAGACCAAAAACATTCATTTTAAAAAACATCTATACGCATGAGTGTGTAGCCCTAGAAGAGAACCATATTAACTTGTTCATGGATTTAAATTCTTGATGTTGGCCTTATCAACTTATTCTTCAATTCCTGTGGATTTAACTCTGAAATGTCTCAAATATATTCTATTGCCAATGTCCTAGAGAAGGCTTTTTCTAGGCTCTTACAGTAAACTAAGTGGCTACTGTGGCCCCCTTCCCCGTATACCCTTTCCCCACTGCCGAATTTCCAGCGTAAATTTGACGATCTCACTCACTACTCATTACTGCTTAAATGTTTTACTTACCCATTGCCTAAACAGTCAAGACTCAAATGTTTTCAAATGGTTATGCTTTTTTCCTCCTGTCTCCAAAATTCCTTCTCCCCAAAATGTGGAAATTGCGCTTGATCTTTTTTTTGTTTTTTGTTTTTTGCTTTTGGTCTTGGGCTCGGCACCTGTCTAGCCAGGCCACTAACAATCCATCCTAGAAGTTTTGAATAGGTACTGACAATCAGTTAATTTCTCAGAAGTGCTCAGTGGCCACGTTTCCTGCCAACTGAACCAGAAAAGTGGGGATACCCATTTATGAGAGAGAATGAAGATGTGCAGAGAAGCTGAGCCCAGCAGCAGGCAACTGAGTGCTGTCCCGGTACTTTGTTGACTCCAGGGGCATCCTTGGCCTGCTGTCTAATCAGACAGGCCAGACTGCTGACAATAAATCCCCCTCAAAGGCTCGCTCAAACTGTTTCTAATACCTGCACCCAAGTCAATCCCAACCCCACAGCACATAGTGACGTGACAGTTCAATCAGAAGCTGTTCTGCTAGCTGCGTTTCCCAGGGCTCTCAACAGCGCTTCATTACCCCCGAACACCCCGCACTCACACCCCCGCATCGAAGCTGAAAGCTCTCTCCCGTTCCCTGTGCTCGTTGTCCTTAGTATTTGCCTCCTTGATTAAACTTACATTATATTGTAGAATTCCCATTTCTTTAAAAATTATTTTTAAGTTCTTCAAGGAGAGGGTCTCACTCATTTATGCAGCTCATTAACATGACGGGCAAACGCACGGAGGTACCTGACAAACTTTTGCTGCATCAGGTTATTCCAGCACATGAAGTGCACTAGCCCTTGCCACACAGGCTCCAGCAAAATGCCCCACAAAGACGTGACCAGCTTATTGCTTTACTCTCTGAGTAAACTTTATGTACAACTTTATGTCTGAACATAAGAGTAACTTTTATGAGAGATAAACTGACCAGGAAAAGCAGTACCCAAGTCGTAATTCACACTCTCCTCAAGGGCCTAATACAGTAACTTGAATGCAGAAATCTTACACCTGCACCATACTTCCTTCTTCTCTTTCCATACACTTTACAGTTATGCACTCAGCTTAATTCTTTTGCCTTCAAATCTGGAGATGTCAGCCACTTCTGTAGTACGAGCTGTTTGCACTGACGTGTTCTTAAAAGTTGGATTACCTAGCTGCACAGATGAAAAAACAACCCTATCAGTTACTTTTAATACTTTTTTTCTGAAAAGCTCTTCAACCCCAAATGTATTTCCAAATACATTTCCAGTGGGTTTTTGTTTGTTTCTATTTTATATTTCCTAGAAGTCAGGGGAAAGAAGACATTTTTTTATTCATTTTATATTCAACCTAGTAACCAAATAAAGGAAATAAAACACAATTACTTATGGCAAAGCTGGTTTATTGAACTTCATAAGGAAAAGGTTACAGTGACACTATTCCACAACAAAATTACTTAACTTCAGTTTAGATTTCAAGATGAAATGTATTACCCATATGTCAGTAAAGCATTGTCATTAATAGCTAACTAGATTTTGGATTAGCTTCCTTTGGTGTTCTCAAATTAAGACTTTTCCAAAACATATCTGATGTTTCCAACTAAGGGTCACAGTTAAAAGAAATTCACATCAGTTACAAAATATGCGATTTGTGCTTTAAAAATTAATAACTGGTTGTTTGATAAGTCACCATTCTGGAAGGGATTTCTCAACAGTCAATGAATTGTTTTATAAATATTTTGGGAAATATCTAAAAGCTGTACTCCTATTAAAGTATATGTTCTTTTTAAAATAAAAACATAGAAAAAAATTAAAACACTAAATCATTACAAATGAGATAACAAACATTTTTAAATTAATAAATATTAAAGTGAAAAAATAAGTCCTTTCACAGAACTGTAAAGGATACTAACTTCTTACAAAAAGAAACAAAGTTAAATTACTTTTTTTTTAAAGTCATTAATAGCACTGAAAAAACATAAATGTGCTTGGAAAGTCTGTAAGCTTTTTTCCCACACTTTAGAAAATGTTTTGAAAAGCAATAAACAGATTCCCATCTTTAAAAAGCTGTTACTCCATCACAATTCATAGTTATCATTGTTCTACTATAAAAAGTTACAAATCAACATTAATTTAGATAGTAAAATCATTTTTAATTCTAGCATAAGAAAAATGGATAAACCTTCCTAGACATAAAGTCAATTTGTTTTTCCTTAACTCTAATATATTTAAAACTGAATTATTTCCTATAATTATTACTTCCAGTTAGTTCATTTAATAGTATTATCTTGTTTTTATAATTAAATTATCCAGTTAGAACCACCATGATGATTAAGCAAAATTCCTAAACTAGATTAGAATCCATATTTATTGGTTTCCCACATTCTGAAAATGTTATAAGTAGAATCACATTTTGGCTTTAATTTCTTCTTCTACTATCAAGGGCAGTAATCTATCAGAATTAGTGAATGTGTACACTTCAGTTAAAGTTCATGGCTTACATTCCATTCGTGTAATAGTTTCATATGCAAGCTTACTATTTCCTATGTGCAAAGTTTTAAATTCAAAATAAAATTATTTAGGGTTAAAAAACTTTTTGAAATATTCTTTCCACAACTGAGGCATAGACATGATACTTCTCAATATCTATTTTTCATCCTGAGGAGGAATCGCTTGTTGTGACCATAAAATGTGCAAAGATTTTTTAAACTGATGTACTGTAACACAATATTATTAAAGAAATATATGCAGATTCATAGCAATTAAAGGATGTCCATGGAGCTATGATCCAAATGAAGTTGATTTGTTAATTCAGTCTTTAATCATTAAACAGACTGAGGATGGGGGACAGCAAGCAATAAACTATTCCAGATACAAAGCTAAAAGCTAAGAATAAGTCTCCTGTGGTAGCCAGCAACCATGTTTACCTATTTTCCCCCAAATTATGACTCCTCAAATGCTTTCAGTTAGTTTTTCACTGTTTAAAAATATCAAAATAAAATGTAAAGCACCTTCATATCATATCACTGCATGATATATCATTACATTTGTATTAAGATCTGACTTATTTTTGCATATTTTAATAGAACTTAAGAAAACTCAAATTACTCTTTTAAAATAACAATGACTTTTGTAAACCTGACTGATGTTGATTAGAAATATCAAGCATCTAGAATCATTGAAAAATTTGTTCTTTATGGACTGTGAACCAGAACTCTATGCTTTCTCTTCTCACTGGAGCTAAAGTCTTGGCTCCAAAATATACCAATAATAATGCAATTAAACACATTAAAAGTACAAATAAAGAACTCTAGTGAGAGGCAAATTCCAGTTTTTATCCTATTGCAAACACTTCCCATTAAAGGACATACCACTAAATATACCTTACAATTTTTTTCAATCCCAGGAAAACAGGACTGAGTAGCCACTCTTAAAATTCTATTGTGCTCGCATCTGAAGCCTCCTTCACTGGGCTCTCAATGGAAAGATGCTCTGATTGATCCTACTTCTGCTTCATTTTCAACCTCACCTGAAAACAACTTATTCCTTGTGTTGTCACAGTGACAAACTAAGTAGATACAAGATACAAATGTGATTTGTGGAGTATAACAACAAAGCAAAACTGAAGGAACATAACAGCAGCAGACTCACTCCAAGAAAGGATTAGTGGTTACCAAAGGGGAGGGGTGAGGAGAGGGTGGGTGGGGAAGGAGGGAGAAGGGGATTGAGGGGTATTATGTTTAGTACACATGGTGTAGGGGGGTCACGGGGAAGACAGTATAGCACAGATGGCAAATAGTGGATCTGTGGCATCTTACTACACTGATGAACAGTGACTGCAATGGGGTATGGGGGGGAACTCAATAATATGGGTGAATGTAGTAACCACATTGTTTTTTCATGTGAAACCTTCGTAAGAGTATATATCAATAATACCTTAAAAAAAAAGATACAAATGTGAGCATGACAATGATAAATAGCAAAGTGTCAGGATGATCCATTATACTTGAGATTAAATCTTACAACTTATCACTGTCATATTTCAAAAGTATTTCTTTACTGATATCATAAAGACTGTTATTTAGCACCAGCATGTCATTGCAGGCTTTGGTTCAGGCTTCAGGGTAATTCCATTACCAGGGGGTTGACTGAGCATTAATGGTTTGTGGCTTTTCAGTTTATGAGCCAAGGTCATAAATATAGCTTCCACATGGTCATTATCATTGGGGTTCTTAGCGGAGGTTTCAAACAAAGGCATACTGTGTGTGTCAGCAAATTTTTGTGCCAAGTCTGTAGGCACTTGAATGGCACTTCTCAAGTCACATTTATTTCCAACAAGAATCCGTGGTATATCAATGGCTAGCAAATGCTGCTTGCATTCTTCTATCCAAGATGGCAGGCTATGAAAACTAGCCATGTTGGTCATATCATACACAAAGACGACAGCATGTACATTTCTGTAGTAGTGCTGTACCATGCTCTTTCTGAAGCGTTCTTGTCCTGCTGTGTCCCATAACTGGATCTGAAAATAAAAAAACAAAAAGGGGAAAACTGAAATTTTCTTTTCCAGTTATACATATTGAAATTTGTAGTCACTTCGGAAGTGGTATTACTAGTTCTTCACTTATATCACTTTGTTCACTTCCATAATGACTTTACATTTCTATTTACGGGATCTAGACTTCATGATACTCATCTAGTTACCTCATAATTAATCCAAGTATCAGAACACATATTTGAATTTAGCATTTAAATTTCAATAAATCAAATTTGGATGAAACTATAACTCAAAAATTGATTAAAAAATGTTAAGAGAAAATATATCAGGTCTTAACAAATGTGTTAAGTGTCTAATTCCTGGAAATTTGCTTTCTGTGTGCCCTTTTCTACCTTTCAACAGTCTAATTTAGAAGAGTAAGGATAAGACAGATGTTATTAACAGTCACAAGGCTCTAGCCCCACAACCAACATATATACATACATTCTATGAAATCCAGGCCCCCTTGAGAACTTTAAAAGGGTACAGAATCACTTATCTATCCCAAATATCTCTACCAACAAAACTATTTCACTATCTCCTAGTTGAAATATGGGGGAATTGGGGAAAATGACATCTAAAGCCAAATACAAGTCATATGTTACGATTTTAACACACTGAATTATCCTGCCTTTAATTCCTAAAAAGCAGTTAAATGATGCAGATTTGTTTAGGTAACTTGTAACAGAAAGAAGTGTCTGGGAGCCTAAACTGGTAATATCTCATAGAGCAGTAAACAAGTAGAGGGAAATTGAGGGGATACTACATATATAACCCCAAAAGTCAGTAGGATGTAAGCTTAAGTGGTAGTATGGTAATTGCTCACTTATGACGTAATGAATAAATAAATTTCCAAAATGTGATTAAAGATGAAAATATTGATAACTCTTCCATGAATGTAGTAACCACATTGTTTTTTCATGTGAAACCTTCGTAAGAGTATATATCAATAATACCTTAAAAAAAAAGATACAAATGTGAGCATGACAATGATAAATAGCAAAGTGTCAGGATGATCCATTATACTTGAGATTAAATCTTACAACTTATCACTGTCATATTTCAAAAGTATTTCTTTACTGATATCATAAAGACTGTTATTTAGCACCAGCATGTCATTGCAGGCTTTGGTTCAGGCTTCAGGGTAATTCCATTACCAGGGGGTTGACTGAGCATTAATGGTTTGTGGCTTTTCAGTTTATGAGCCAAGGTCATAAATATAGCTTCCACATGGTCATTATCATTGGGGTTCTTAGCGGAGGTTTCAAACAAAGGCATACTGTGTGTGTCAGCAAATTTTTGTGCCAAGTCTGTAGGCACTTGAATGGCACTTCTCAAGTCACATTTATTTCCAACAAGAATCCGTGGTATATCAATGGCTAGCAAATGCTGCTTGCATTCTTCTATCCAAGATGGCAGGCTATGAAAACTAGCCATGTTGGTCATATCATACACAAAGACGACAGCATGTACATTTCTGTAGTAGTGCTGTACCATGCTCTTTCTGAAGCGTTCTTGTCCTGCTGTGTCCCATAACTGGATCTGAAAATAAAAAAACAAAAAGGGGAAAACTGAAATTTTCTTTTCCAGTTATACATATTGAAATTTGTAGTCACTTCGGAAGTGGTATTACTAGTTCTTCACTTATATCACTTTGTTCACTTCCATAATGACTTTACATTTCTATTTACGGGATCTAGACTTCATGATACTCATCTAGTTACCTCATAATTAATCCAAGTATCAGAACACATATTTGAATTTAGCATTTAAATTTCAATAAATCAAATTTGGATGAAACTATAACTCAAAAATTGATTAAAAAATGTTAAGAGAAAATATATCAGGTCTTAACAAATGTGTTAAGTGTCTAATTCCTGGAAATTTGCTTTCTGTGTGCCCTTTTCTACCTTTCAACAGTCTAATTTAGAAGAGTAAGGATAAGACAGATGTTATTAACAGTCACAAGGCTCTAGCCCCACAACCAACATATATACATACATTCTATGAAATCCAGGCCCCCTTGAGAACTTTAAAAGGGTACAGAATCACTTATCTATCCCAAATATCTCTACCAACAAAACTATTTCACTATCTCCTAGTTGAAATATGGGGGAATTGGGGAAAATGACATCTAAAGCCAAATACAAGTCATATGTTACGATTTTAACACACTGAATTATCCTGCCTTTAATTCCTAAAAAGCAGTTAAATGATGCAGATTTGTTTAGGTAACTTGTAACAGAAAGAAGTGTCTGGGAGCCTAAACTGGTAATATCTCATAGAGCAGTAAACAAGTAGAGGGAAATTGAGGGGATACTACATATATAACCCCAAAAGTCAGTAGGATGTAAGCTTAAGTGGTAGTATGGTAATTGCTCACTTATGACGTAATGAATAAATAAATTTCCAAAATGTGATTAAAGATGAAAATATTGATAACTCTTCCATACTAGGTCTGATTTTATCTTTTTTTCTTTAGTTCTTTTTAGTCCAAATTTCTCCATTTTCTTAATATTCTCCCTTTCTTCCTAATCAATATAAACCATATTTTGCTTCAGGCAGAAATATTTTACTATACAAAATTAATTTCTCAGGCTTTCTTGGAACTAGGGGAGGCCAAGTGACATAGTTCTGGCCAGTAATTTGAAAACTCTTCTCAGTGGGGGTTTCCAGGAAAACTACTGATTTGTGATTTTAAAAAAGAACATTTGGCATGTGTCTTTTGCACCACTCTCACCCTACCCTGTCTGCCTGGAATGGGATAAAATGCCTGGAGGTTAAATAGCCATCTTATGAGCATGAAGAAGAAACCCACACTAAGAATGGCAGAAGAATGGCTGAACAGAAGTCTAGCATAAACCCAGATTCTTGCTGACAGGGTACCATTAAACAGACTGCTACTTCTAGTCTCCTTCATTATATGAGAAAAATAAGACTTGATATGGTTGAATCATCACAGTTGAATTTTTATTACATATAGCTGAATTCCATCCTAAAATTATTTACCATGCACACTATTTAAAACCTTTACCCTTTACACTCATATTTACTCAGGAAATCACAAGGTTTTGACTTACTGCATTCCTAGAAACCACACCACAAAGTAAATCATTATAAAATACCAACTTGTGATGTAAGCAATAATAATTGGGAGATGGGTCATAAAGATTCAGTATCATATAAATCAGAAAAAAACAGTTGTCAGCAAAACAGACTAAGAACTACTAACATCTAAGACTATTTAAATCAACAAATATTTACTAAATACCTATTATGTGCCAGTAGGTTAGTGTTACACCTCTACACCTTAGCCTCATTAGTAAGAGTAAAATTTAATTTCAGACCCTATAAAATAAGCACTCATAGACTAGCTACACTGACTATGCAGAGATAAAGACATAATTCTCTAAAAATACAACTTTCCTATTTTAAAAAAATACAACATTTTACCCCAACTAACATATTGAGGAAACATTCAACATATGATTAAACATGCTTCAAACTGTAGATGTCAACACTTATTACAAAGCTACAATAATTAAGACTGTGTGCCACTGGCATAAGATGGGACATATAGATCAATGGAACAGAACTAAGAGCCCAGAAATAAATCTATACATACATCTGTGGTGAATTGATTTCAACAAGAGTGCCAAGACAATTCAGTAAGGGAAAGAACAGTCATTTCAACAAATGGTACTGGGACAACATGCAAAAAAATTAGGTTGGACCCCCTACCTCACACTATATACAAAAATATATTCAAAGTGGACAAAAGATCTAAATTTAAGAACCAAAAGTATAAAAGTTTTAGAAGAAAACATAGGGGTAAATATTTGTGACCTTGAATTAAGCAATGGTTTCTTAGCTATGACACCTAAAGCAACCTAAGACAAAATAGATTGAACTTCACCAAAATTAAAAATGTTTATATTTCAAAGAACATTATCAATAAAGTAAAAAGACAACTCACAGAATGGGAGAAAAATATCTGCAAATAATATATTTTATGGTGTCTTGTATCCAGAATATTTAAGAACTCTTACAACTCAATAATAAAAAAGCAACCCAAATAAAAAATTGGCTAAAGAACTGAACATACATTTCTCCAAAGAAAACACACAAATGGTCAATAAGTACATGAAGACAGTCAACATCATTAGCCATCAAAGAAATGTAAATTGAAACCACAATGAAATACCACTTTATACCTATTAGGATGGCCATAATTTTGAAAAGAAGAGAGAGAGAGACAATAACAAGTGTTGACAGACATGTGGAAAAAAACTGGAACCCTCATACATTGCTGGTGAGGATGTAAAATAGTGCAGTCACTTTAGAAAATAGTTTGGCAGTTCCTCAAGAAATATTAGTTAGCCATAAAAAGGAATGAAGTACTGATACATGCTACAACATGGATGAGCCTCTAAAATATGCTAAACCAAAGAGCCTGAGGTCAGATACCAAAAGTTGCATATTGTATGGCTCCATTTATGTGAACTACCTGAAATAGATAAATTCACAGAGACAGAACACAGATTGGTGGTTGCCAGGGGCTGGAGAAGGAGGAGAAATGATTAATAGGTGAAGGATATTATTTTGGAGTGATGGAAATATTTTGAAACTAGATAGAAGTCGTATTTGTACAACATTATGAATGTACTAAATGCCAATTAATTGTTCCCTTTAAAATAGTTACTTTTATGTTATTTGAATTTAACCTCAATAAGTTATTAGAAAAACAAAAACAAAACAGATGTTTGCCATATGACCTAGCAATTCCACTCCTTGGTATGTATATCCAAGAGAACTGAAAGATATGTTTTTGTGTGAAAGATATGTTCACATAAAACTTGTACACAAATGTAGATAGCAGCATTATTCTTAATAGCTAAACATTGGAAACAACCCAAATATTTATTAACTGATGAATGGATAAATAAAATGTCCATATAATGGAATATTATTCAGCCGTAAAAAATGAAGCACTACACATGCTTCAACATGGATAAATCTTGAAAACATTATGCTAAGTAAAAGAAGCCAGACGCCAAAAGCCCATATTGTAAGATTCTATGCATATGAAATGTCCAATACAAGAAAATCCATAGAGACAGGTAGTAAATTAGTGGTTGCCATGGTTTCAGGGAACAGGAAGAATAGGGAGCAACTGCTAATGGGTACAGAGCTTCTTTTGGGAGTGATGCGATGTTCCGGGATTAGATGATTATGGGGTACACAGCTATGAATATACTAAAAACAACGGAAATGTGTATTTTAAAAGGTAAATCTTGTATCACATGAGTTATATCTGTTTAAAAAAACACTCCAAACTGTATCTTTAACATCAGAAAAATATTTTGGGAATAATGTGGATGACCTAGTATAAAAATGTGGATGACCTATATAGAAGCTGTCCAAAGAAATTGGAGCTGATCTTTTCTCTTTTAATAACATTTCCTGTAGCTAGGGTATTCAAAAATTATTTCACTGGTGAAGAATTATTTATAATATTTTAAGCAAAGTACAAGTTAAAAAATAAACAAAACACATAAAAAGAAAATATGCCAAAATATTAATGGTTGTCTTTAAGGCAATTTTCCCATTTTTTTTTACTTTACTATGTTTTCCATAACAAACATGTATTTCTTATAAAACCAGACTTAAAAAAAATAATAATTATGCAGAATTTAGAACTGCCACAAAGAACTGTTGGAGACCTAAATAAATATAGGTAGTGATGATTAGGATGTCTGCCCCTAAAGAGAGCCATTTCTTTGTTTAGGATGGGGCTGACTCAACAAAACTCCTCCCATCAATCCTGCTCAAAACTCTTATGTTTTGTTTTGTTTTTACTTAATATAATGACAATTTTTATTTTTAAATGAGCAATGTTGTACACATTAGATTCTGTTTTATTAAGTCATTTTTGTGAATGTAAAAAGATGAGCTGGTGAAGTCTTTCTTTACTAATGTACATAGTAAACTCTATGTATTCTAACCATAGAATCAAGACTTCCAGGCAACAAGTATGAAATTATAACTCTTCATACTTTATTGATGAGCCATAGAAGTATATTAAGTTAATGAGGCATTTACAAAGGAATATTTAAAAGGAAGCTTCAAAATTTTGCTCACAAAATTGCTAAAGTAAGGGCACACTCGGGTGATAGCACAGTTATGTTGCCTACACCTTTCAGGTGTGCACAGACACCCAGATGAGGGCGAGGGGACAAGGGAAGGAGCAGGGGGAGACCAGACAAAGAAAGGGCAGGATGACAAATGAAAGCTGTCCAGCTGTAAAAAACACGAGAAAACTGACCAAATGAAGAAACCTTCACTGATCAGCTATCAAACTTCCTTTTCCACTGTTCTTCCAAAGAACACATTTTATTGTTTTTGCTTCCAAGTGGCCTTATAAAAGACCATCTGAAAACTATATAAGCACTTCTATTAACAACTTAAGTAGTCAACATCATTAACTAGTATTGGTAATATTCCAAAGAACTTTTTGTTTTTAGTATGCAGAGTAGAAAATATGGTGTCTGACACATACATGTGGATTCCAGATTTCCAGAGCAGCCAGCCCACTGATCTCCTTGCCCCATACATTCAATACATGTCCCCCTAGTATCACATAGAAACTGAGCTAGACACTGGAAGAAGTCTATGGAATAACCAGACAGAGATCCTTCCCTGAATAAGACTGAGTAAGATCTAACAAAGAGAGTAGACATCTATGACAGAAAATAAGGAAAACAACAGAGATCATTTAAAAAAGATCAGCTAAGGTGCTAAAGTGAGTTCATAGAAGAAAGGAATAGAATGGAGACAGGGTGGGAGATTTTTGATAGACACACTGAGTTGAATAAGGAAGAATTACAGGTGGTAAAATATGGAAAGGGGGAATAATCTCGTCAGACAGGAAATGCAAGACTAAAACAGTGATTAGCAAATAATTGGCTATACCATGAGATACTTGAAGGAGATTGATGAGAAAAATGTTAGAAAAGCAGTCTGGATCAGGTCTAGGGAAGGCCTACGTTAATTTAAAGATCTGGAGCTATAAAATATGAGAGAGAACTGCCCAGAGTATCTGAGGCAGGGGACACTAATCTCCCTAAAGCAACACTAATCTGGTATTTTGTCAACAATGTACAAAATAGATTAATTGAAGACTAGGGTAGGAGATGACGTTAGCTGCTACAACAGATCAGAGGGGTAAAAGGATTTGAACTAGGATTCTGAAGAACAGATAAATGAGAGAAGTTGTGCAGGCAGAAAACCTACTGCATTTTGGGAGCAAAGGAGAGGGATGAGGGCTTGAGGATGAGGAGGACACCTCTTCAGGACAACCGAGATGGCTTGTGGACAACAGTAGAGGCAGATTTGCCACAGAATATGAACTCACTTCACTAGAGGCAAAGGAGGAGTTACCCAAACAGCCATATCTAGAAAACAGTAGGAAATACAGAATGACAGATGAGAAGTCTGAGCCAAGCACAGATTTGGAAGTTTTTTCAAAGACGTGATAGTTGAAGTCAAGAACTAAAGGAGAGAATGTAGAGAGAAAAACAGGTCAAGGGGCAGACTGAGTCTCATTTCCTAAACTTGGACTTTCTACTGTGCATACAAAATGAAGTCCAGACTCTTTGTTCTTCACTTTTCACAAATGTTGCTACCAAACCTTCACATTCTTCTATCATATTAGAGCACCCTGCTGATGCTCCTTCGGCTCAGCCCTTCCTCTCGTGAAACTTCACCTAGCACTCCAAACAAGAATGATTCCTCCACGAACATCCAAACCAGGCACTTGGCACTCATTCATAGCCTGGTTTTGCTGGCCATCTTTTTAGGCATAAAAATTTTGCCCTACCTAGGTCAGCAAATCATCTATGCACTACATCAGGGTCAGGAAACATTTTCTGTAGAAGGGTCAGACTAGTAAATATTTTAGGCTTTGTAGACTTAAGGGTCTCTATCCCAACTACTCAACTCAGCCACTGTAGCATAAAAGCATGCACAGTATGTTTCAATATAACTTTACTATGGACAGTGGGATATGAATTTCATGCAGTTTTCACCTGTCATGAAATCATAGTCTTTTGATTTTTTTCCCAACCATTTAAAGAAAAAATCATTCTTAGTTTGGAGTCCATATAAAAACAGGCAGTAGGCTCTATTTGGCCCTCAAGCATGGTTTGCTAACCCCTGCAATGCATCATTCTTTGCAACTAAAATGTCTTCTTTCCTGCAAGTACTCATTAAATATTTGATTTTACCAGTAGGGGGAGAGATCCTGATTATTGTCCTTTAGTTAATATTAACACTTCATGTTTAACATGGCAAAATGTCATACCTCTACAAATGAGCTATCCCAACATTCAAATAGAAACTGCTGACCCCTAAAGAGAAGATGGAATAAATGTGACACTAAGCTTTAATGATTCTGTTAATGTCTGCCATTGTAAAATGAATGTATGAAAGGAATATGGCTGGTTATGATGAGAATACACACACAAGGAAGTAATATAAGGATTAGAGTTGTGAGTCTCAATTTAAAAATCAAATGTATTTTAATTTAAGGAAATAATTTTATAATTTTGTTCAACTTTCAAAATTTTGCCAACAAGATATTCCTCTTTCAACAATACACATATACTACTTAGGAACAGACTAAAAAGTATAAATTTCATAAAACATTTTAACTGATTAACTGCTGTAATATAAGCCCTGAAAAATTTCCAGTCCACAATGAAACACATTTAATATCTCATTTTTATTGAACAAATAAAAATAACATCTAGAATGTCATTCTATTAGTAGAGTACTATAGAGCTTTACAACCTTCACTTTAAGATGAAAATTAAAAGAAGTGTCAGTTTGTATTAGGCTCATAATTTTCCAAAGAGAAAATATGAACATGGTATGACCATTTCAGCAGCACTTAAAATGTATTAAAAGTTAACAAGAAAGAAGCAGAAGTAGCATATGAAATAAAACTCTTCTATATCACTTCAGGTGTTTTAAGAAACTAAAAAATGAAGTTTTCATAAAATGTCCAATATAGCCATATCTTTCTCTACTACAGAAATCTCAGAACATTTCTGTAGTTTTTCAACTATAGTAAAAAATCTCTCAAGTGTTACAACTGGAGGTATGAGACAATGGCTAAGGCCCTTAGAAAGAAAAAGAAATTCAGTGCCCAGGTCCCTACCAACAAAACAAGTTAGGCTAAAGGTCAGGAATAATCCCCCCAAAAATGTTTTCTCCTTACTCCTCTCAACCAGAACTATCAACTCTGTACTCTCAGATTCATCACACTGAGGTTCTGGTTTACTTATCACTGTCAGCAGTTATCCCAGTAGTTAAGCATCTGACTTTATACACTGGACATGTTTTATACTTTTGCAATACAAGTATCTCTTGAACTTGCACCCGATTCATTTGTGATCTTAAAATATAAATGGCACCCCAGAAACAGGTAAAGGGCCATCAAATCTCAACTTTTCCCTTGCTTATTTTTTATTACCCTGCCCCCATTTGGGGGGAATTCCTCTGCCTTTCAGCTGTCTGCCTATGTCCCACTTTATCTCTGCTTCTGAAAACTGATGGTGCTAAACATGAATAATGATGTTAAGCCACTGGGGAAGAAGAACCTCTTTAAGAGTACAAACTATGAACCAGGTGTTTCATATATGTTCTCATCTATTACAGCCTGATATGGTATTATTATCCCAACTTCTCAGAAAAGAAAATTGACTCTGAAAGATTAAGGAACCTGCCAAAGCATTAACCAATAACCCTGGTTTGCCTGAGACTGAGGGGTTTCCTGGGATGTGGAACTTCCAGTTTTAAGAGGTTCAGGCAACGCTGGCCACCCTTCTAAGGACACAGAGCCCATCTTCACCCTTTCATAGGTTCAGATTTGGGCCAGGTCAGCTGGGCTTGAAAACCCATGCACCTTTTTCCAAGACTCCTGCTTCTCCCAAACCAAACTCCTAAACCGCAGAAGCCCCAGTGTCTTCCTCACACACAGGCTTCTGGGGCTAACTTAATCCTGATGAAAAATATTCAGACTGTTATTCTGTTCCTCTGTAATGTATACAAAATCTCTATAATACAAATCTTAACTCCCTAATACAGTACACCCAAAGGGCCAGCACCAGCAGCTTGTATGGGACAATGCAAAATTAAGGTGAAACTAAAATGCAAAAGGGCCTATAGAGGAATGACTTCTTTCCAACCCTACTTCTCCTTTACTGTAATATTTAAATCCCTTTGGGGGGGGGGTGTTGGGCAGATAGAGAACTAAAAAAATTAATTGTTCTTGCCTCACAGATGTAAGGGTAGGAATGGAGCAGTGTATTTTTCCCCACAGGGGACTGAGGTAAAAATGGACATCCTAATTAAAGCAAAGAAGTAAATGCAATGTAGGGAAGGCAGAGCAGTTCTTAGGATTCACATGTTTTAAAGGGGTGGTATCAGCAGATGGCTGAGGAGTTAGTGCAGGCTTGGAATGAAGAAGGGTGTCTAATGAGATCAGGAGGCCTCAGCCTTGTCACTGTTCCCCATTCTCCAATGCTCCAATGAAGCCTTCAGAACTCATCTTGGCCTTGGGCATACTACTTTCTCCACTCTTACTGTGTTGTTCCTAGTCTCTGGAGCCACCAGTTAATTAAGGAAGAACTGAGAGAGGGTGGCACCAAGAATGTGCCTCTGGCAACCCAAGTAGGTACTATCATGTATAGAATGTTTCTGCAAGAAAACAGACTTTTCTTAACTCATACAAAAGTGTATGTAACACAATTCCCATACCTAAGTACTTCCTCAAAGCCTTCCTCCTCAACAATACTGAGGGCAGTAGTCAGATGACCTTAATAAATATTTATTAAATGAATTTTCCATGCTTAAGAGATTTCACTGTTTCCTCCTTCCGTCTCATTTCATTGACTCCCAGCATATAAGACACTGCCGGTGAGTAAGTGGATATTGCCTACACTCTTGCCACTTTAAGTGTGGTCTACGGACAGTATGCATCTAGAGCACCTGGTACTTTACCAAATCAGAATTGGCATTTAAAAAAAAAAAAGATCCTGGGGCAAATCGCATGACATTAAGGTTTGAGAAGCACTACCTTATTAGTTTGCTATACACAAATCCTTCCAATTCCCAACTCCAATCTCCCCATCAGCGTGAGTGAGAAATGATGGAGCGCACACCTAGCACAGGGCCAACGATTAAACCACGTGGGGTGTGAATCACTATCATCCCGGGGTGTCTTTCCTCCCTGAACAGGTCCCCATTCGCTCACCTTGATGCGCTCCCCATCAATCTCCACCGCCCGTTCTCGGAAATCCACCCCGATGGTAGCCTCGGTGCGGTCGGGGAAGCGGCCAGCGCAGAAGCGGTAGGTCAGGCATGTCTTGCCCACATTGGAGTCGCCGATCACGATTATCTTGAAGATGCGGGAGCGAGCCGGAGGCAGAAACACTGAAGCCCCTGACACCGCACCGCTGGACGAAAAGCTTGCCTCCAGCGACGACTCCATCTCCGAAGCCATTCTCCTGACCCGCCCCAACAAGCGGAGGGCAGGAGACACAGAAACGCTGGGGGATTACGCCACCGCGAGCGAGCGCGCCCTGCTCGCCAGCCCGCTGCGCAACGTCCCGGAGCCACCGCCCAGCGGGCCGGCAGAGCGCGTGCGCACCTTGCGCCCCCGCGCGCGCAGGTGTGGCGTCCCCAGCCAGGCCTTCTGGGTCTTTCCGCTGGCCCGCGGCCCCACCCCGCACGTCTCTCTACCTGGGAAGGTGCGGAACCCGTCGGAGCTTGACGGCGGCGCAGAAGGTCAGTCTGCCCAGCGGCCAAGCAGAACTACCCAGGCCCCGCACCCTTGCCGGCCCGGCCCCGCCACGTCCGGGGCTCCCGCCCTCCGGAGGAAGCCGCGCAATCACTCTGGGGGCGGGGAGAGAAAGATAGCCGAAAGAAAGGAGGTACCAACCGGCACCTTCTCGCGAGAGGGCCGGAGAGTCTCCGGAGGGTGGGGCGTGTGCTTGGGGAGGCTGGGGAAGGCCGTCTGAAGTTCCGGACCCACGGTGGGGCCTCCGCCGATTTGGCGGCGAAGGCGGGTCCCCATGGCTCGTAACTGGCGGCTGCCAAGTGGGCTGCGCTCCCTTCCTGCTTCCTCCAGCCTCTCCGGATCTCGGGAACTGGGACAGTGGCGCGAGGGCTGGCGCGGGTGGGGCCGCGGAGCGGCGTGGGAAGCGTCTGGAGGCAAGCTCGGGGTCCCGCAGAGCTCTGTCAGCCTTCGGCCCCGGCAGGCACAGGGGCGTCGGCGAGCCGGCGGGGGTACCAGGCCGCCACGGCCGCCGCACAGAGAATCCTTTAGGCGCTCGCTAGGTCCTGTGAGGATGTCCGCGGGACTCTGGTTTCCAGGGCTTATTTGGCTAATAGCCCTGGCCCAAGAAGAACAGATCACATGTGGGGCCCTCCGGGGGGCCTTGAACCCAGGAGGTGTTACTAGACAGTCAGTCTCCCTGGTGAGAATAAAACTGATTATGCCCTAGTTATGTTTCAGTGCCTGGGTGCCGATGATGTAGCCGTTAAATATTAGCTCACACGAACTTATCAGGAAAATACTACAAGACAAGACCGCCCAAACTAAAAAAAAATCTTCACTGGATTACCGTGAATGCTTCAGAGGAAACCTACCACACATTTAAGTCACACAAAAGGTCCAACATGTACAAATATATTGCTTCTTGTGAAATGTTTTGTTTTACAATGACAAGGCTCCCCGCCCCCCGCCAACCGCTCACCCCACCCCGTTTGAGCAAATAGGCCGTTTGGAGAGTCAAAAGACTGAAGAAGAGGACCTGCCAGGCCTTCAATAGAGTGAGAGGCACAACAAAGCACTAAAAGTTCTGGGAAAGGAGATGAACTGTTTATTCTTTTAGGTAAATTGAAAATGTTAGAACAAATTAGTGGTAGAATATGAGCATGCCCAAGAGTTAATAGGAATTTGCAAAAGCCTTAATATGTAACAATTTCTGTTGCAATTGAAAAACTATATAGTCAATAATATACCAAGTTATGTTAGCTAGGAAGAAAAAAGTTTCTCACCTGATTGAATGTGTATATCAATGATCTTTAACTGTTTCCTGCTATAGAAACTAGAAAATTCTGTTTATCTGTGAGGTTATTTCCATGAAAATTAATCACAATCGTCCCAGAAACTACTGAAGAACCTTGGAATATATTCCTCTAATTTACCTATCCCATTTAAAGGAAAGAATCCTAAGATTTAGAACAAAAAAGCAGTTTAAGAATTCAAGCATAGATAATCAGGTAATTTCAAAAGATGGTGAAAAAAGCATCAATATCTTTGCACTCTAAGACCCTTGCTTGCTCTTCGTTTGTTGTGGGCCTTTTGGTTTAACTCTTAATGAAATGCCTCAGAAATTATCTTGTCTATTTATCCAAATGCTATTCATATTTCACGTCATAGCTCCAAAGTCTCATCTCTGTGAAGCTTTTCCTGTTACTTCAGCTCAGAAGGCTAAGTCTAATATACTTTTTGGAGTAGTGTTCATGAGGTCTTTGAATACTGTTGTCACTGTTTAAGTTTGTTAACCTTAAAGATAAAACTGTCAGTTATCTTACCAGCAAAAATGGATTTATTCTGGAATAGCAGAGAATTGTAATCAGGACATGCAAGCTACAGAAGAGAGATAAGCAAATCCAGAGAACAAAGCAGAGGGATCCTATTCTATAGAGGGAAAGGGCCAAGTTGGGAGGGCTGCTCTAAGCAAAACGTCCATCGAAGCTAACTGGGAGTTCCACATATGGCTTCTCATTGACTGAGCTGACAGTCTCTCATTGGCTGGGCTGTTGCTGAGGGAGGCAGAAACTCTCTTTCCTCCTGTTGGGTAGTAAAATAGCTAAGTGGTATGACTTGTAAGGTGTCTGTCCCTTCCGGTTGGGTCTGAAATTAAAGCGACGTGGGCATGAGAGCGTCCCCTGCTGGCAGACCCCTTGCCATGTCAGTGAGGTTTCCCTTCTTAATTTTCAGTTTTATAATTATGTGTTCTATCCTACCAACTCTTGACTACTGACTGTAAGTTCACTGTTATTCAGCATAAGATGAATAAATTAGTGAAGTAATAAATTTCTTGTGTTAAGAATTGTCCATTTGAACTATTTACCATTTATATGGTAATAGTATCCTATTACAATTCAGCACTGCTCAAAATGGAGAAATCACATAGACACTTGACATTGTTACAAGAAGTTCTGTATTTTCAGCTTGCAGTTTGAGAGATGACCTCTGTGTCTGAAGTGCATGTCACTCTTCCTAAGTGAATAACCCCAAAACCTCCAGGTTTGGTACTTGAAGGAAATTCTACTATTGGAAAGAGCAGATGGATTATGCAGCCTTATTTTCTGAGAATTCATTTTGTCCTTGAAGTTCTTCACTACTTGCTGTCACTACACTTGGCCTCAAAGTACAAGCATGTAATCCTTTCCTTAGTATTTTACTACACTGCTGAGGGGAGACTGCATTTGGATCTGTTAGCAGTACAATGTGAAGTGGAACAGTATAAATGGTTAAGGGTATTGGAGTATTTGTTAAGGTACTTTTCTAATAGAAAAGCAATGGGTATTTAAAAAAATAACATAAGGGTAATCTTATCTTATGTACAAAATGTAATCACTTATTTTTAGCTTTGTTTGCTACAAAGATGCCAATTCCCTGTGGCAGAGGACATTATTTAACTGGCCTTATCAAGGAATAGCACTTAGACAACTTCACTCTTTTAAGTTCAGGCCTTTGCACAGAGAACAAAGGAGTGTTCCCTTGCTTGCTTACACAATATTGTCTCAACCTTGGCACTGTTGACATTCTGTGCTGGTAATTCTTTGTTGTGGGCAGCCATCCCATGCATTGTAGGATGCTTAGCAGCATCCCTGCCTTCTACCTACTATGTGCCAGTAGTATTCCACCCCCATTGTAACAGTCTCTAGACATTGCCAAATGCCCCAAAGGGTAGGGGTGGGAGTAGGGTAAAATTGTGCTCTCCTCTCCTCTCTCACTGAGAACCACTGGACCTATACAAGGGCTCTTCTAATAATTCTGCTTTCCTGTCCATCCCATTTGATAGTAGGAATCATCTTTCCCCTGAAGACAGAACACTAATTCCCCAGAGAAGTATAGCATTGGCCTTGTTGGCCTCTGCCAAATTACCATGTCACTGTGTTTAACAGTAACCCCCAAATACCATAGAAGAGATATTAAAGTATAAAGACTTCAATTTTAGTGCCTGAACAATAAATTACCATCATCATTTTATAGGTTAGCTTACTGAGTTTTAGAATTCTTCAAATTATATCTTTATAAGTAGAGTCACTGAGGATTTATGGAATTTTAACTATGTTCTCAGTACTGTGTTAGTGGTTGGGGCAGAGGAGTAGATAAAAAATGTGATTCTAGCCCATGAGGAACTTGTAATCTAGCTGCAGAATCAAGTAACACTGAACTATCATTGAATTACACAGGTCATATTTTACTCTGAAGGTGCATGGGCCTAGACTTCAAGGAATTCTAGACGTGTTCAAGTATGAAGGCAGACTGGGAGCTAATTTGGAAACCCATGTAGTGAACAATAAAATAAAGATGAGTGTGCCTGTAGAAGTGTCATTCTATGTAATAAACCCAACTTGTGAATAAGCAAGACTTAAAAATGTTTGATGTTATGTGAAAAGTGCAGTCATGTGGCCTCTGTTGTTTCTTCTTCTTTATCTCATTCTTTTTCCCTCCTCACCGTTAGAATGTTGGATTATATAGCATTCTCAGTATTTGAGACAGACAATAATTTTGAAGAGGATCTCAATAACAGATTTATGAGCTTTAACAGATATATTAAACTTTCTAACTTGCAGATAGAGAAGGCACTTTTTAAATATCCACAAGACATTTCAAACATTGATTTTTAAAATAACTACACATGGGCTTCTGGTTTCCAGACAGCCTACTCTCCCCTTCTTGACAGTGTACTTTCACTTTGCCTATAAACTCCTGCCCCTCAAGACTGTCAAAATAAATAAATACACATGAAAATCCAATTTTAAGTTATACTCTCTGATAGTAGAACAATAAAAACATAAGTTTTTTTTGTGTGTGTATTGTATGTTTTGTTTGTTTAGCAAAAAGATTTAGTAAAAAGGAAATTCATCTACTTGGAAACTAAAATGAAAATCTCTCAAATATGGTTCCAAGAGAAAAATCACAAGCACAGTTGGAGATTTACAGCTATTTAGGAATTAATGACAATGAGGACAAAAAAAAGAATCAAGGATCCAGCCAAAGTAGTATAGGAAAAGCACAGCTCATATATTTTAATATTAATCACTATCGAGTGAATAAAAATATACCCCATGGTCTACCTAACAGCTGATACTTACATAGTACTTAATATATGTCATACACTGTTGTAAAGTTTTATAAAAATTAATTTAATCTTCACAATAAACCTATGAGGTAGGTAATATTCTCCCCTTTTTATAGATAACCTGAGGCTCAGAAAGGTTAAATGTCTTGCTCAAGTTCACTCACCTAATAAGTGATTAAGGCAAGATTCAAACTCAGTCTTTTGACCATTACATTATACTACCTCTTAAGTGAGAAAAATAAAGTTTTAAGGAAAAGCAGATGAAAAAGTTAATAAAGAGAAAAGTAGAAAGCAGTGAATTAAATCCAGAAATACAAAACATCAAAAAAGGAAAGAGCTGATTATTTGAAATAATAAAATAAATATGGCAAAATAAAAAGATTTTTAAACAGGAGAAAAATATTAGGATTGAAAAAGGGAAATAAACTCAGGTACAAAGGAA